ATCGACAGCACAGGTGTCAAGATATAAGCATCTCACAGAATGCGCTCAGAAGATGACTTCTTGGACATCTCATGCTCGAGGCTGAAGATGGTGTTTGCCATGAGTGCATGTCCATGCAGAAAGACACTTTGCATTTATTTATACTTATAGTTCCTACTGTGAGTTGATGGTTTGGCTCCACTAACCAACCAGTCATTTCTGATCATCTGGATTGAGTTTTGGAAGCAGTTGGGCTCAATTTATTTCAATAAACCACTCAATAGCATTGGCAAGATCACCACTTACAACTTAATTACCTTTATTGAAGGCATAAACCACAGCTCTGCTTGGGATTTCTGCATTTTAAACCTGTTAGGGAAAAGGCACATGCACTTGGCACAACCTTGACTACATTTTATGAATAACCTTAGTTATCCTTTTTCCACGAATACATGCATGTGCCTGTTTCTCACTTTTCTCTTCTCTTTCCCTTTGATATAAACCACAATTAAAATATCAAAACGATTTACCTACCATTTACTCATCATAACACTGCAGCGATGTTTTACGGTGCAGTAATACACACAGAGTGAATTAGCTATGGGGCTGATGGGTCATTTTCTTCACCAGGATGCCAGATTATTATCCCATAAAGCTGTACAAAAGGAATGTTATTGGCAATATACAGTGTCCTTGGAATTCATTTTAGCTGGTGTATTTGAAAATAAGTTAAAAGGGAAGGTGATTATGTTTCTGAAAAAGAATTGTGGGAAAATACTAAATCACTGGAACCACTGGGGTAATAAACCAGACTTAAGAAACTGAAGTGGAAGTGGCAGGATACAAGATCAACTCAAGAAAATCAGTACTCCTACTATATACAGACAATAAAAGGGCTGAGAAAGAAATCAAAGAAACACCACCTTTTACAATTGCCACAAACAACATAAAATACCTCGGGATAACACTAACTAAACAAGTAAAAGACCTTTATAGCAAGAACTTTGAGTCTTTAAAGAAGGAAATTAAAGAAGACACCAGAAAATGGAAAGATCTCCTATGCTCTTGAGTAGGTAGGATCAATGTAGTAAAAATGGCATCCTGCCAAAAGCAATCTACAGCTTCAATGCAATCCCCATTAAAATCCCAGCACAATTTTTCACAGACCTTGAAAGAACAATAATCAATTTTGTATGGAGAAACAAAAGACCCAGGATAGCCAAAACAACCTTACTCAACAAAGCCACATCTGTAGGTATCACCATGCCTGACTTCAAGCTCTATTATAGAGCTGTAGTCCTGAAAACAGCTTGGTATTGGCACAAAAACAGACAGGTAGACCAATGGAATCGAATTGAACACCCTGATATTAACCCACACATATATGAACATCTGATCTTCGACAAAGAAGCTAAAAATATACAATAGAAAAAAAGAAAGCCTCTTCAACAAATGGTACTGGCATAAATGGATGCTGGCATGTAGAAGAATGTGGATAGATCCATGTCTATTGCCATGCACAAAACTTAAGTCCAAATGCATCAAACACCTGGACAAAAATCCAGTCACACTGAACCTCTTAGAAGAGAAAGTGGGTGGTACCCTTGAATGAATTGGTACAGGAGACTGCTTCCTGAACATAGCACCAGTAGCACAGACACTGAGGTAAACAATTAATACATGGGACCTCCTGAAACTTAGAAGCTTTTGTAAGGCAAAGGACACAGTCAACAAGACATAAAGGGAGCCCACAGAATGGGAAAAGATATTCACTAACCCCACACCTGAGAGAGGGCTGATCTCTAAAATTTACAAAGAACTCAAGAAGCAAGTCTCTAAAACACCAAAGGATCCAATTAAAAAGTGGGCTACAGAACTACACAGAAAATTTTCAATAGAGGAGTCTAAAATGGCTGAGAGGCACTTGAGAAAGTGCTCAACATCCCTAGCCATCAGGGAAATGCAAATCAAAACAACTCTGAGATACCATCTCACTCTTGTCAGAATGACTAAAATAAAAAACACCAATGGCAGTTTATGCTGGAGAGGTTATGGAGAAAGGGGAACACTCCTCCACTGCTGGTGGGAGTGCCAACTCATACAGCCACTTTGGAAATCAGTATGGAGATTCCTCATAAAAATGGGAATAAGCCTATCACAAGACCCAGCAATTCCATTCTTTGGCATATATCCAAAAGATGCACATTCATACAAGGACATCTGTTCCACTATGTTCATAGCAGCATTATTTGTAATAGCTAGATCCAGGAAGCAAACTAGATGCCCCACAAGTGAAGAGTGGGTAGAGAAAATGTGGTACATTTACACAATGCAGTACTACTCAGCAGAAAAAAAATGGAATTTGCAGGCAAATGGATGGTACTAGAAGAAACCATCCTGAGTGAGGTAACCCAGTCACAAAAAGGAAAACATGATGTGTACTATTTCATTTATGGATTTTAGACAGATCTGGGGCATACCGGCCTACAATCTTACTGCCAGAGAGTCTGGGAAACAAAACCTTCATTCAATGGCTGATGGAAGTAGAGGCAGGAACCCAGTGACAGAGAGGGAGGGCTGATGAGCAAAGGGGTTAAGACTGGGCTGGTTTAACCCCCAGAAACAGCTGACCTGACAAAGGTTAACTCTCGAATCCCAGACTGATGGCAGGGAATCCAGCATGGGACTGATCAAGACCCCCTGAACATGGGTGTCAGTGAGGATGCCTAGGCAATCTATAGGACCTTGGGTAGTAGATCAGTATTTATCCATCACATACAAATGGAATTTGGGTGCCCATCCCACAATGAGAGATGCACTTTCATCTTAGACTTTTGGGGGCGGGTCTAGGGCCTTGCCCTGGATGAAATGACAGACTATGGACACCCCATGGAGGGTCTCACCCTCACTGGGAGATGAGAGGGTACTGGGAGGTTGGTGGGAGGGCGTGAGAGGAGGGGACAGAAAAGGCGAGAGACCTAGGATTGACATGTAAGCAACCTTGTTTCTAATTTAAATTTAAATTTAAAAAATTAAAAATAAACTGAAGTAGATGTTTGCATTTCTCAACATTCCTAATTCTCCAGCATCTAGCATAACTAGGCAAGGATGGCCTCAGACTCTTTAGGACCAGAGAGCTTGTGCAGAAGATGAAATCGAACCAGTAAGTTTAAGTACTATATGTTAACATTTGACCACATTCTGTGACAAAGCACATGGTGTTTGTCTGTGCTTTGGATCAGTTTCTAGGCATGTGGCCCATAATGGACTGCAAGGCGCTTTAGTCAAATGAATCACTTTCCATTGGCATAAGCCTCAATTTCTTACATGAGTGTCCAACTTTTGGCTTTAAAGAGCTCAAGGAACACACATTTAATTTAGGGGCATGCAACCTGTAGCCTTTGGATTGATAGAACACATATTCAGTTATATTGCGTGACACCAAAGCATGATGATCTCTGTATAATACCTTGCTCTCTCTGTGACAATAGTTGGAGCACTGACTCCAGTCCCATCTCTATCAATGATTCAGCGGGATTTGGGTCCAGGAGACAGTCTAGACTTTGTAGTTTCTCCATGAAGTGAGATGCAGGGCTCTTTACACATCCTTCCTCCTTTTCAGTACATGCACTTTACCCACAGAACACTTCAGTAGGTGGGGCTGTCAGATACATAGTGATCTTGGTCCGGAGGGAATCACCCGTCCTTTAGCTTGCTCTGGAACTAGGGAAGCCTGGTGTTAGAAAGCCTGCAGGTGTCCAGCTAATGATGCCACATGGAAAGGGGCCTAGGGCTCTGCCTTCAGCATCTTGACTAAAGAAGAAAGGCTCATTTGCATCAGTCTGAATGCATTGTAATAACCTCAGAGTACCGAAAATGTATCAGGGTCTCATTAAGAGATTAAAAGCATTTCCACTTGGAGAAATTTTATCAAGAGTAAGCCCAGATTTGAATTCTCTCTTTCTGTCTGTCTACCTGTCTCTGTCTCTCTGTCTGTCTCTGTGTCTCTGTCTCTGTCTCTGTCTCTGTCTCTGTCTCTCTCTCTCTCTCTCTCTCTTTCTCTCATCTTTCATGTCCTGTTTTCCTGTAGTTTGAGTTTGCTGTGTCTGTGAACAGCACAAAAAGTTATCACCTGAGGAAGGAATGAGGGGACACTTTATAGATATTTTTAACAGAATTTTTACAAGGGATGAAACTGTTGATTCCAACTAGCCCAGATAACAAAGAATCAACTGCTATGAAGCAGTATCTCTATGCTGTTTCCAGCAGTTATGGTGGATATTTTTTTAATAAGGCCACTTTTCATCCTATTTGCTGTTTTGAGCAAACGGTTATCATGACACACATACATGGCTTTCTGGGTCAGGGGCATGAAATAAACAAGCTAAGTGCAAAGCTGTTCATGGCGGTGCAGTGGGGAGGTAGAAGGATCTCTGGGCTCTTTGGTTCTTGCCTAATTGGTGAGGTCCTGGCCACTGAGTGAAGTCTCAATGGAGATGGATGGTGCTTTAGAAGATGACACCTAGGTTGTCCTCCGGCCTCCAACACGCACACATTTGCACGCACGCACGCACACACACACACACACACACACACACACCACAAGCATAGCCAAACCATGCACATACATACACATGTATGGTGATTAATTTTTATGTCAACTTGACACAAGCTAGAGTCATTTTGGAAGAGAGAATCTCAATTAAAATAATGCTCCCACAAAATGGGACCATGGGCAAGTCTATGATACATTTTCTTGAGTTATGTTTGATATGGGTGGACCCATAGTGGGTGGTGCCACCCTTGGCCTTGAGAGATGGCTCACTGGCTAAGAACAGTTGATGTTCTTGCAGAGGACCTGGGTTAAAATTCCCCATACAGCAATGCTAGTTGGCTCACGCCTACCTATAATTCCAGCTCCAGGGAATTCAGGTCAGTCCTCTATGCTCCTCAGCAGTGGTACTCATGCAAACACACAGGCACATATACATGATCAAAATAAAAAAATAAAGCTTCAAAAGTTTTCATATATCAAGAGGCTGTTTAATAGGCAGGGGTACCTATTGCCACAGCCCACCTCCAATCTGTAGGTATCATTGTAGAGAAAACCATTGGCTCATGCTTCTTTGTTCCCTGCATTCCTCAATCATGCCTTCATATTGATGGAAACATTTTCCAGCATGTCTCACCAAGTATGGTCATGAAATTATTTTGGTTCCTGCACTCAGAACCAAAATGGAGAAATACCGATGCTGTTCTGAGACTTCGAAAACATCCAAAGTGTATCCTCTTCTGGTTGCTTCCATCACAGCCAGAATCTACTGTCCTGCAGGCCAAGTCTGAGAATGAGAAATACACAGAGAAAACAAGAATTTAGACTCAATGTCTTGGCTTGTTTTGTGTTAGCTAAAAATCATCTGAATGAAGGGACCTAAATTAAGAAAACATCTCCATGAGATGAGGATACAGGCAAGCCTGTAGGGAATTTTCCTGGGCTGGTGGTCCTGGGTGCTACAAGAAAGCAGGCTGAGCAAGACATGAGGAGCAAGTCAGTAAGCAGCCTTCGGTGGCCTCTGCACCAGGTCCTGCCTCCAGGTTCCTTCCCTGCTTAAATTCCTGTCCTGACTTCCTTTGATGATGAGCTTTGATGTGAAAGTGTGAGCTAAATAAACTCTATCCTCCTTACATTGCCTTTTGGTCATAGTGTTTCATTACAGAAAGGGAAACCCTAACTAAGACACTAAGTGAAGTCAGCATGCAGCTATGGAAGCCCTGGGGTAGTTTGAATGCAGTCAGCAGAGCAAACACGCTCCCCTAATTCACAGAATCATGCAGAAGGACTTGGGTGTGCAGGTGTGTAAACCAGTTGAAGAACCTTAGCTCTCCCCCAGAAGGGAATAAAGCGTAATTCTCAACTGGCAAATACTGTTTTCCAGTTCAGTTTCAGGACAGATATTAACTTGAAGATAGTGTTGCAATTAACCTTTATCATTTTATTTGGATTCTTACATGTTCTTGATTTGCAAACAAAGATAAAATACCATCAGTAATTCTGATGCATATATCATCTAAAGACACACATTTTATAATGCACTGATGTGAAAGGCACCAACAGCTGCATATGTCTTAAAGTTCAGAAGAAGTTTTAACAGAAGCTGTGAGCATGATGAAAATGGAGAATTTATATACAGAGTCCTCACTGGAGTGGCATGGTGATTTTTCTCATATCACTTCTTTAAATATCAGCGACATGATTAGTCAGGAGTCAAGAACCTCAATCTTCCTAAGTTCAAATTTTATTATTTTATAGTTTGATAGAAAATATATCAGAACAGACATGATTTTTGATATTACAGTTTGAAACTGTTTCATATGCACACAAAACAGTTCCCAAATGGAGTTATGTTAGATTGCTTTGACAGTTTGGATTTGTGTCTTTTTGATATCTTAAGAGACCAACTCCTAGCTTCATGTTAGTGCAGTAATGGAATATTTGATGTTATGATTTATGAATGCTCTAGTTCTTTTAATTTTATGGCAAGGGAGTATCAACTCTTACATGCCAGACTAATGGAAAACAATGTATTCCTAGTTTCCCTTGTGTTAAAGATATGCGGATGTGATTCCCACAAAAGAGTCAATTATTTCCAGCAAAGCTCATCTGTGGCTGTAAAGAAATAGATGGAGGCAAGAACTTTTTCCTTCCTTTAATCTTTTCTGAAAACACTCACTGACTCTGAAGTGATTGCTGTGGTTGATCCACAGTCCTTCCCAGATGGAACTTAAGAGTATTTCTTTTCTATTCTAGAATAATTGGCCTCAGTAACAATAGAGTTCTCATCTGCACCAGTCAGATGTGGGCATTTTATTTCACCTTTGATTCCTATAGACTGTAACATGAAAGTGTATGGTCTTCCCATCTATCTAGGTCATAAAGAAAATTTTAAATATGAAATCATATTTAAACACAATGATAATGATTCCTTATATTGCCACCAGTTAAATTTCCAACCCTCTTGTACTTACTCAAACTAATGTATTAATTCATTCACTTACTGTTCACTCATTTATTCATTAGGTCTCTGAATTAGTCACCCACTTCTTAACTTCAAAGGCAAAGGTTACACCTTTGCAGAAAAATATGAACTTGAAATATGACTGGTCTTGACACATTTTTTGCTGCTTATTGCTTTCCAGCTCCAATATTGAACTATGTATTTGAAACTTCCAGATATCAGTGTCCTTTACAATAGAGATAACAATATATACTTTACCATATAAAGGAACAATATGGAACAGGTTTAAGCTATGGTGAGTGCGGCACAGATATACATTTCTATAAGTAGTCAACAGACTTATGGTGACATGAGTGAGTATTAGGCCTACAGTACTGTAAGTAGGCAAGAGGTCTACATTGCAATGAGTGTGCAGCCATCCTATTTTGCTGTGGGTGAACAGCAAGCCCATCATGTTGTGAAAAGGCCACAGGCCAAAGGTCTACAGTACCAAGAATATGCAACAGACCTAGAGTCCCCTAACTGGACAACAGGCTTGCAGAGCCATGACTGGACCCCTCTGCTCAGGCTACTTTACTTTGGTTTGATAATTTGGGGATGTTCATTTCTCAGTCTCTTCCATATTACCTAATTTCTTTTCTTAGGCCAAGCAAGATGATGCTGGGGTAAAATATGTTTGCACCCAGAAACTGGTACTTTCATGGCTCTACAATTTTGCAGCCCTGAATCTCAGAGCTCTTACTTTTAACACTGTTAAGTGTAGTCTGCTTTGAAGATTATTATTTAACTGTTATCTCAGTCTTCAACATGTAAGGGACACATTGAGTTCATTCCCCTTTTGTAGTCATTGAGAGTTTGTCTCAAAGCTCGAACTCCAAATCAAAGCTCTATTCTAGGTGCATTCTGTCTTGTTTTCTTTGCCTCATCATTTCTAGTTTATTTATCAAGTACATTTTCATTATCTGTTTGTTAAGTTTGGCATCTTGTAGCAGACGATCTCAGACCCCCGGCCCTCACATCCTGACACAAAGACTAATTAATTATGAATGCTGGTCTTAGCTTTAGGCTGGTTTCTAGATAGCTTAAAAGAAAACTTAAATCAACCCATTTCTATTAATATATGTGCTACCAGAGGCTCATTTACCTCAGCTACATAGTATCCATCCTGCTTTCCTGTTTCCTCTGTGTCTGATTAGCTGGCTCCTTTTTCTCTCTACCCGCCAGCCTTGCCTATCCCTCCTCTGCCTAATTATTGGTCATTCAGCTTTTTATCAGACCAATCAGGTACTTTAGGCAAGCAAGATAAAAGCAACACCACTTTACACAGTTAAACAGGTGTAGCACAAACAAAAGCAACATATTTTTACATAGTTAAACAAATGCAGTGTAAACAAATGCAACAATCTTTACATAGATAAACACTTATTCTATTCCACAACATCATCTTCCGTAGTATTTTCCTTAACTGCATTCAACATGAAATATGAATTTGGCCTTGGATAACACCTTTTCACTTTCTGATCATGAAAACTAATTCTCTAAGTATGTAGGACTAAAGCAAACTGACTAAAATTGACTCAATAATACAACTATGTTTCCCATCGGACTTTCTTTTGAGTAGTGTCAGTTTATAGCCCATACTGCCTCACGTTCGTCATGAATTTTCTGCCTAAACTTCCTTACTACTGTAGTAAGGCACGTCTCTCCCCATGTCCAGTGTATGCTCTCTATCAGACCACCAGCATTGATTTGTGTTGCACGTATTTTGGAATAAAATGAAGATATGATGCATAAGGACATGACAACAAAAAGAAGCAAGGCACATGTATATCCTAAGTTCAACCTTAAGGACTTATAACACCGGGAAATAATGAAAGATAACTCCATTAAAGAACAATCCATAAGATATCATTAGTATGTATAGCTAAATTGCTGGTCCTCAACTCAACTGAAAGACTCCTACCAAACTCAATCACTAAATTATTTCCAAAAGACTCAACATGATAAGCCACTCTTTCCAAACTGTTTACCATCTTTCAAAAAAATTGAGATGTCTTTCGTAATTGATTTTCTACTATGCTGATCCAAAATACTGAAAGTAATTCTGTGTTCATAAATTGTGATATCAATTAAGAGCTCTTTAAGACTTCAATTACTTAAGACAAAATGCCCAGTTTCACTGTGTTTATTGGCTATTATTTCTGTCACATAGGACACTGTTGTGTCTGCCACTGATGCTGCTTTGTGACTTCTAAACAGTCCAGATAATTCTGTTCAGCCATCTTACATGTCAGTCATCTGTATTGATTTCCATATTGAGTGTTGTCCATGGTGCTTGAGCAGTGCCCAGTTCAACTGCTTATCACTGATCTTTTCAAAGCCTTGGGCCACAGGAGAACTGAATTGTGTCATGCATAAATATTTTCCCTGCTTTCTTTTTTTTTTAATTTTATACAGCTAAGTGGTATGTTTACGTAAATGCCAAAGTGAAATTTGATGAAAGGGGGTAAAGAAATATGCACAGAAAATGCAAGAGTAAGAGCTTTCACTGAGATCTGAAATGGGTTCTTACATGAGAGCACCTGTTCTGTGAATCTGGGTGCAGAAAAATAATCACACTCCTTTTAAAGGGACATACCGGGAATCAAGCATTATTTATTTTCCTATTAACATAATCACTATTGGGCTTTACACTGGAGAGCCTCTGAAGAGGAACAGCCAATGAACACCTGCTGTCCAGTTACGCTATGCATTGTTCTGGTTGCCGTCTTTGTGAAAGACTTCATTTTTACTGAGGTTAATATAGATGCCTCACAGTGACTTTTAACGCTGCCTATAAGCCAGATTGATTGATCTAAGGGATTTTTCTCACTTTCTTGCCTACACACTTGTGTGCATCTGTCTCCATCTCAAATCTATTCCCTTAAGCCCAGATAACCACATATTGTTGATTTGTCAAGGGAGATCACCAACCTGAACCATCAAATGGACACATTCCTTTAACCACCAAGAGATCACTTCCCTGTCTATCTCTGACGCTACAGGGTTTCAAAATAGACTTGGTTTGTGTACTTGGTTTTCTATTTTATATTAATTATAGATACTTAGCAAAAATTCATCATTGTTTGCTTTAGAAATGTCATGATTTTTTTTGTTTAAAACAAATTCTCAGAATCAGTATTACCTGAAGTTTGAATTTTGTTTTAGTATCCTGATAGTCATGAAGTACACACACAATTTCATTTGCACATACCAGACTTACTTATTCTAGTGTATCATAAAGTGATAAGAGTTTTGAGAAATTACCAACAAATGCCTAGTAA